GTGCAGGCAGCAGCCATCCTCGCTCTCCTGTCTCCTGCAGATCGGTCCTTCGAGTCAGAAATCAACTACAACAACCCGCTGGGGACGGGGGGACGCCTGGCCATCGGCTTTGCCATGCTGCTGCGGGCACTGTGGAAGGGCACGCACCACGCCTTCCAGCCCTCTAAACTGAAGGTAGGGCCACAGGGCCAGGTGGGTGTGGGTGGCTGCAGACAGGTTTTGTGCTGCCCGGGGGCTGCTGGCCAGCCCTGACTACTGTGCTTCCCCCAGGCAATTGTGGCCAGCAAGGCCAGCCAGTTCACTGGCTATGCCCAGCACGATGCTCAGGAGTTCATGGCCTTCCTGCTTGATGGCCTGCACGAGGACCTCAACCGCATCCAGAACAAGCCCTACACAGAAACTGTTGACTCAGATGGGAGGCCTGATGAGGTGAGGATGTCCGTCCCCAGGGTCACCAGGAGAGCAGCCCTGGCCTGGGTGGTTTAGCATAGTGCTGAGCCCTGTCTCCCCACAGGTAGTAGCTGAGGAGGCCTGGCAGCGACACAAGATGAGGAACGACTCTTTTATTGTGGACCTATTCCAGGGCCAGTACAAATCCAAGCTGGTGTGCCCAGTGTGTTCCAAGGTAGGGCAGCCCTGGGGGCTCTGTCCCTGTCCTGGCTGTGCAGCAGGTTTCTGACCCTCAGAGGGCACAGGGCAGGTCTGGAGGGGCTGCTGCCCTGCTGATCTGTCACAAGCACTTCCCACAACTGAATGTGCTCTCACGTCTGCAGGTGTCCATCACCTTTGACCCCTTCCTGTACCTCCCTGTGCCCCTCCCACAGAAGCAGAAGGTGCTGACTGTCTACTACTTTGCAAAGGAGCCACACAAGAAACCCATCAAGGTAAAGGACACCATCTGCTCTGGGGAGATGGCCTGAGAGGGTTCCTGGAGGTGCCCCAGGCAGCTGGCTGTGTGCTAATGGGCTAAGCCTTGTGTTAAGCAAGGGCCTGCCTGCACTGGGGTGATGTGACTGATGTGGCACTTTCTTCACGGCAGTTTCTCGTGAGTATCAGCAAGGAGAACTCCAGTGCCATGGAGGTACTTGACTCGGTGGCCCACAGCGTGCGTGTGAAGCCAGAGAACCTGCGCCTGGCAGAGGTGAGAGCACTCAAGCTGGGGAGCAAGCTACTGGCTGCTCCTGTGGGTGCCCCAGCTCCTGCAGCTCTGCAGGGAATGTGGCCACTGGCAGGCGCTTGTCCGTATCCGGTGTATCCCTGGGGCAGATTCTGTCTGTGGGTGGCAGTGGCCTGCACAGGGTGCTGCTGGGCAGAGCCTTGCTCAGGAGAGCTGGGCCACCACAGTGGGGCAAGGGATGTCCCTCCTCCCCTGGTGGGGTGCTGAGCTGAGCCAAACATCCCTGTGGTGCTGCTGTCCCCTCAGCTCCCTGCGGGGCTGAGGTC